ATAGCGAAAGCTATCACAAAAACTTGAACACCCCTACTAATTCGAAAATCATATAACCTTTTAAAATTTCGATAGCCTACAAGTCATTAAATTCCATATAATATTCATGAATCGAATAACCGAATACTTTAACACAAATATGAATTTCAAAAGCTACAATTTCATTATTCGGAAAAACCCACAAGAAATTCATGACGTAAAATTAATTTCCCATGAGACTATACAATTATGAATTAGTGTTGAAAATATTTTTTGTTCAGGAGAGAAATAGTTTTAAATTTAAAAATAACAATTTAATTTCCCCCACTTTTTTCAAATTTAAAAATAGTTTTTTCACAGCATCATCTAATTTAAAAGATAAAAAAATAAAAAAATAAATTTGTCACATTCCAACACTTACACATCTCATGCCCACAATTCTATTTGAAGCCAATTTTGTTAAGTAAAACCTCAAATTCAAATAAATTCTCTTAGATGGACTTACAAATTTTTAAAAAATACATCCATCTAGAGATTCATATCAATTAAACCTCTTAACATCCAATAAATGTTGGTAACATCAAAAGCCACCAACTATAAAAGCGTTTTCAAATTTTATAAGTGTGTAATACTTAAGCCAATTTTAGGTGCTGTTTGGCAACCTGAGATTTAGGCTATTATAGCCTAAAACTGAAAATCAGCCCAAAAGCCTAACTGTAGCAAACTTTTTCTTGATTTTCAAAAAAAAAAAAAAAAATTGACTGTTGGTCGGCTACTGCAGCAGTGCAGCCTACACTGCCACCAACAGTGTAGGCTGCAGGTTTGCTAAATTACATTATTACCCCTATTCCTCAATCTTTTAAAAAAATAAAGTGAAGGGTAAATTTGTAATTTCAATTTAAACATCATTTCAAACACATTTTTCAATACAACAATCAACCTAAAAATTTAACTCAACTTCCCAAACACAAAACTAAAATAACCTACTAAAATAGTCAAAAAGCCAAATAGCCTACTAAAATAGCCACTTCCCAAACGAGGCCTTAGTAGTAAATGTGCTTAAAAACATCAATTTCTACATTCCACCATTCTACCAATAAATGTCTAAAATTATATTCTTAAAAAGACTCCTTGATAATATTAATCTTGATTAAAGACTCACGTTTCTAATATTTACAAATTCGAGTAATTTGTCCACTCTTGCCACAAACAATATGAGGAGGTTATTAGTTCTATAACTCATTTAACTTGGGTTTCCCTTACTGTGAGATTTATCACAAAATAATTCTTAAATTTTATCAAAAATAATTTTTAGGTAAATGAGATAAACATAAAAATAAATTCATACCTCAGTGATGGATATCTCCATGTAGAAAGGACACGAATTTGTCATTAAGCTTCCTCCACCATTTGGAAGCAAATGATCACAAATTCTCTCCGCATTAGAAAGGCTAGCTGAAATCTCCACAATCTCATGTGGCCACTAGTCTATCATCTAATAGGAATCATTTTTATTTCTCTATTTTTTTATTCTTTTTTGGAATTCTCATGTTTTTAACTCCATCTTTGAATCTCCTTAAAATTGTTGAAGTATTTATCAAAATAAATAAATAATTATAGAGTTAAAATAAATATGGGCAAAAATCATCACCATGAAATTTCGGTAAATTTTATTAGGGCAAATTACATATACACCCCTCGAGGTTTGGCTAAATTACAGATACCCCCTGAGGTTTGAGAAATTACGAATTCCCCCCTGAATGCTATATTTGCATAAGAAATTAGGGGGTAATTTGTTATGAAATATAAACCTCAGGGGGTAAATTGTTATGAAAATACAAACCTCAGGGGGCGGGATGTAATTTCCGAAACCTCAGGGGGGTATCTGTAATTTAACCAAACCTCGAGGGGTGTATATGTAATTTGCCCATTTTATTACATCCACGGATATTACCCCTCGTTCACTATTTTAAATATGTATTACACATCATATCTCATAATATATGAATATACAATAAATTGAACTGAGACGCAGTAATCTCGTTCTCTTTAAGGAAATTCAAGCTCTTTTCTGTTGATAAAACTACCACTCTCCGATGCAACACAATATCACGTATTAGCTTGTCTTCTCCATAATACAACAACTCGACTTTTAATCGTGTCGACTCAATTAACCCTGCACAAATAGGCGAGTCCAAAGCCCCATCATAAAAATACCTTTACAAGTTGCCTAATTATTTCTGTATAAACATAATATAAATTATATATACACACTCATAATTCTCCATATAAAATATGGATGCACAAGCTCTACTTTATATGCACCCACAAGCAAATTAAGAGTCTCATATTAAATATAATAATAAATCCATTGTAATTTATAACCTTTCACATGACACACTCAAATCCTTTATATTGTATTATTATATAATCTTTAATTGCACTTTATGACATGATGTATATATACACATAAATACACTATAATATATATATATATATAATTATAATATTAAAATAACATGAATGTATGTATGCATCAACACACAAATGAGATTCAAACTCACATTTTTTTTACACTTAATAGAGCCTGAAAATTTTATTTTACCAACTGTAATATATTGTGACGCACAAATAACTGACTTACAAAGGGGGAAAGTCAAATCTAAAACCGTTAGATTGTATAATAGAACTATCTTACCACTCCACCACACCCACGCATTAAACATTCCCCAAGTCTCTCAAAATAGAATGGTATTGGTTGTAATGCATGCCGACGGAGTCAGAAAATTAAATTAGAGGAGATATTTATTAATTATAATATCAAAAAATTTTATCAAAATATTTCACATAAATTTTTATGATTAATTTCAAAAAACATCAAAAAAATAATGTAATTTATAACTAGTGTATCATGGATAATATAAAAAAATATAGAAATAAATCTTAAAATAAATTATATAATGATAAATTATTTTTTTTATGCAAAATTTGATTAAAAATTTAATATAATGGTAATACCACGCCATCATTAGTATGTGACATCACCAACTAATAGTAAACAAATACATAAAGAGTGAACCTCACATGTCAAATATAACTAAAAATCAAATAAACTTCATAACTTTACAGTGGAATTACTTATACTTGCATGCCAATAATAATTACATCACCGTTACATTAAAAAATTTTCATAAAATCTTCATAAATAATGTGGTTTATTGTAATATCTTCATTTTCAATCAAAATAACTATTATTGTTCTCATAATTTTTAAAATGTCATTAACATTTCACTCTAATAATATTTTTGTAATTTTTTTTATTTAAAATATTTTTTATATTTGTGAAAAAAAAAATCTCAAAATCTAGGGTCACGTGACCCCGGTCCCTTTTTCCCTTCGCCACTGGTAATGCATGAATTGGTTGGTGAGGATATAAAGCTCCCATCCGTTTGTCGTCTTAGCATAGGTTGTAAGAAACTTTTGTTACTTTTTGATTGCAACAATACTCAAAAAAGTACACTGTGAATTCATTTTCAAACCGACTTTATGACGATTCCATATATATATATAACATCTCAATATAAAAAGATGCAACTTTTTGGGGGTTAGGTTTTGTGCATTAACATTTTGGACGGCCAACAGCATCCATTCCCCACCACTCCTTCAATCATTTGACCCATGCAGAGATTACATAATTTTTTTGGAAAATTATGAAAAAATGGAAAAGAAGTAGAAAAAATTGCAAAAGAGTGGGGAAATTAATTGGACCACACATGAAACTGAAAAAAAAAATTTGCAAAATCATGGTGAACTTACATTCTTATCCCTAACCCACTTCTTTCTCTCCTCTCTTTCTCTCTTGCCTACATTATTTGCAAAAGTGAATCTGTATAGGGAGTATGGTTGTGGTTAATTACTTGTGCGATTAGATGTCTTCCTTCTGGTCCTACATTATTTGCAAACCTTAATCTGGTGTCGACATCGTCCCCACCTCCCTCAATTACCGTACACTTCCCTAGCCCCATTCGCTTCACCCCACCGTTTTCCGTCTTCCTTCCTTTTCCTTTCTTCACTCTCTGCAAACCTTAACTTCGACACTTGGTATTAGAGGTGTGCGTGGTATGGTTTGAACGATTTGAAAGTAAAATTATAAATTAAACGGTAAATGGTTGATTGAAAAATATTCTCTTAAACAATTATCAAGCATTTGCATAATATATAACACTAATTTGCATAATATTTTTCATATATATAACTACTAATTTGTAACAAATTTCCCATCTTAAATCTCTCTCTCTCTCTCTCTCTCTACTTTGATAATTCATTAGAGGTCAAAAAAAATGGCAGAGCGAAGTGGTTTTGAAGGCGGATTATAAATTTTAAAGTTTAATCCAGTTAGCGAATGGATCGATACGGATTGAGCGGTATTTTGCATAGAAATAACACTTGTGTTCTTCAAGTCATTGGAGAGTGTATTTAATTCCATTTTCTTTTGTCATTTGGATCTTTGGGTTGTTGTATTATTGTTTTGGTAGAGTAAAATTTGATTTAAACTTGTTACAAGTGTTTCTTTGCACGTATTTTTGTCGGAAGATGACTTAGGAACCTTGAAATTCTATTTTGGGTGTCGACACTAGGCTTCAGAGGGTTGACACTTGTCTTCTGCTCTTTTCTTCCCTTTTGTTTCTGGTTTTTGGGGTCATCACCACCCTTCTGGGTATTGAAACTGCTTCTTCTTCTTCTTTTGCTACTGGTTTATAGGGTTGACACTTGGGCTAGAGGGTGTCGATACTTGGTCGGCCTTTAATGAAGTGTTTCACCATTGTTTTTCAGTGTCAACCTCTTTGGGTGTCAACATTTGCTAGAAAGTGCAGAATATTTCAACCACATTTTCTTTTTGGATTTCTTTTTGACTTTTCTTGGTTGACTTTAGGGCACGTCACTTACTTTTGTTCCTAGACTATAAATAGAACATAACCCACTCTTTTTCCTCACTTATCTTCTCTTTTCTCTATCTCTTTTTCTTCTCTCACTCGTGAAACACCACCATCTCTCTCTAAACTCTATATTTTCACGTTAGATCTTCAGAACTACTCATTTGGAGCAACATCTCTCATTGCTCCTTTGAGACTAAGTGTAGAGTTTATTGAGGGCTTCCTTCTAATTGGAGCAAAACATCGTTTTGCCACATTTGACTTTTGAGGCTTTTCTTCATTTCTTTCTCTTTGCTTTGAGGTAAAGATTTTCTTAATGTCTTGTATGCCCTTTAACTTTCATATGTGTTATTTTGTAAAGTAAATGATTTTTGGAAAGCTAGGGTTTGATTTAAGTTATGTATTAGTGCATAAAAGGGGGGTTTCTATTGAGTTTTGCTTGTTGATGAATAAATATTCTTTCGGTTAACGTGTGACTTGGTTTTGGAATAAAATGATATTTTGAGAAAGAAACCATAATTTTTCTATGGAAACCTAGTTTGATTTTGAAGCTTTTGGAAAGAGGTTGGTTGGAAAGATTTATGAAATCTTTGGAAATGATGTGAATTGATTACTCTTTTTAAAATATTGAGCTTGTTGTGAAATCTTTATTACTTTTTGGGAAATTGATTTTGAAATGTTAAGATTCATGAGACTCTTAGTGTGTATGAAGATTGTTTATTAGGAATCATTGAGACTTTGAGAAAATTGTGGAGATTCTTGATTTTTATATCATGTTGGATTTTAATATCATTGTTGTTATGTTTTAAATTTTGAAATTTAGAGATAACTATTTGGCTATCGATGAAGGATAACATTACTGTATGTTAGAAATTGCATATGGTTTAGGTAATTAAACTGTTTTATAAATCATGCATCTCATGGAATCATATCATAAATTTGTGAACTACATACATTATATTTTGGAAATGATTTCATTTTGAGAAAGGGGTAAATAAGATAGTGAATCTGTATAGGGAGTATGGTTGTGGTTAATTACTTGTGCGATTAGATGTCTTCCTTCTGGTCAGTAAAGTGGCTTTGGTAAAGCTTGAGAGCCTACTTGCAAACACTAGCCCTGGAGATTTATAGCATTGTATTTACTATCCTAGTTTCTGATTCAAAAGAAGTGTTGGGATGTAGTTTTTGGAACTCTTGCGTGGCATTGTCTCAAAAGAATAAAATCTCATGTTTTTGGGCATATCATTTCATATGTATTCACCATATGGCATTGTTAACTATCATATATGTCATAAAGTTATCTCTACTAGGATTTTATGCTCACCCTACGTGGAAACAACTTTCAGGTGTTGACGACATGCCTACGCCAAAATGAGAGCTTGGGAGGATTTTGGAGCTTAAGGTTTGTTTTGTTTTACTTTCTTTTGTATAGCCATGGGCTTTCTTGTATTAGACTTTGACCTGCTTTTGTTGTAACTAAGCTAAGTCTTGGAGACTTGTAGCCTATAGGGTATAAACTTATATTTATTTACTCATGTTCTAGGATCGATGAATGTATAAATACATGTGATATTATTTTGTAAAACTCGGAGGACTTTTATATATGGAGTATAGTTTTGGAGATGTTTTTAGTATCACAATGATTGAGATGTATTAAGTTTGCACTTGTTTGTTGAGGAATAAAATGGATAGCTTGGTATCAATATTTTCGGGACGTGACAATAGCCCTACCTGGTATGTTGTCGCTACCCCCAATCCTTTTCGACATCCTGTTTCTCTCCTTTAACCCTTTTTCTACCATCACTGCTGCTATCCCAACCTTTGCGAAATCGTCTTTAACCTCCCATTTTCCATCCTTAGTCATTTTTCTTATTGTGACCATTGCCAGAGATTGTGTGTGTGTGTGTGTGTGTGTGTGTGTGTGAGAGGGAGAGAGAGAGAGAGAGAGAGAGAGAAAGAGAGATCATGCTAAAGATCACTCGCATGATCGATTATGATTTGGTTTTGCAGAGGTTAGATGCAGGTAGTGATAATGGCGGATTAGGGATGGCAGCGAAAGGGAAAGAAGTTGCGTTATGAGGGATAGATGAAGGGTGGTCGGCGACTAGAGATGTTAGGGGGAGAGTGGCCGTCAACCAGAGAGGAGAGAGAAAACAGAAAAGAGAAAGAAAATTAGGGAAAAATATGAGGGGGCAAAAATGTAAATTTTTCATGATTTTATAAATTTTTTTTTTAGTTTCCATGTTAGGTGTAATTAATTTAGATTTCCCACTCTTTTGTAATTTTTTCTACTACTTTCCATTTTTCTATAATTTGGCATAATGTTTTTTCTTCAAATTTTTTGTCCTAAAATTTGACGAAATTAAAAAAATTATTTTGACTTATTTTATCTTTTCTAAATGTTTTTCAATTTTTTATGATCATATGATCTAGAAGAACTCAAAAAGTAACATAGTTTTACTTAAAGTTGAAATCATTAAAGAAATAAATAAACCTAAATGATAGAATGATTTATAAGCTGCAACCAAGGGAATTCTTTAAGGAAGTAGCAAAAAATAATAATTATACTACAATAATTACATTTTTATACCATATTTGGTTTACGAAGTGAGTTATCACCTCTGCATTTGTTTAATAATTACTTATGTTTGTTTTTAATGAGAATTCACAAATGTAAGTATAAAAATGTGATCATTGTAACATTATTATTATCTTTTAAAAATGATAATTACTTACCTGAGTATTATGAAAAAAAAATTAGAAAGAAAAACAAATAAATTTATGTAAGTCATTTCTAATCTTTAATAGGTATCTTAATTATTTCATATTATTTTTTAGCTAATAATTAGATTCTTAGTGTGATATTTATTAGGCAGATATTTTAAGACACTCTATTGGTAAATATAACATACATAAATAAAATAAAAATCTATTTCTATGATTTTTATAATTTAACACAATAATAATAGAACACTTTTGAAAAATTTAGAAGGAATAATGGCCTCCTTGACCCTCCTTCATTCATGGTCACAATGCACTAGCACTTGTAATTATAGGGTTATATTTTGAGATTTTTATATAATTTTATAATTGAAAAAAAAATATGAATATATATATATATATATATTGTGGGGATATATTTTCTGAATACCAACACGTGGCATGGTGACGCCGACGTGTCAGCCGAGGTGCCACGTGTCGTGGTAGTTAAGCCGAGATGATCTCGGAGTTGCCGAGGTTACCCCCGAAGATATCGGAATCCGAGATAAGCAGATAAGGGACAAGAGTCCTAAGACAAAGAGGGGACTTAACCAAGATAAGGATAAAGCTCTTAGGGAGTTTATCTTTATCTCTTAAAGAGTCCAAAGTAAGCACTAAGTTGGAGTTCATAGAAGTCATACTTCTAGTGGGACTTGGATTTAGTATATTATAAAAGAGAAGCACCCCCGTGGGTCTAAGGTATGCAATTTATGTTTTGAGTATTAAGTTTTGCACTTGATTATCTTTAAGAGATATACTGACTTGATCGTCGGAGTGCCCCCGGGTGGAAGAACCACCGCCGGAGCCTTTTCTTTCTGTTTCAGGTTGCTGAAGCCATCTATTCTGCCTGTGCTCTCCAGTTGATCACTAAGCAGGCAGTGTGGTCAGATTTTCACCCACACATATATATACATATAATATTAAGACAGAAAGATTGAGAACAAAATATAAGACACCAACAAGGAGGCAACATTCATGTAGTATGGTATTCAATTTTGAAAATCTTAACTTTGCTTTCTTTGGGTTGTTTTGGAAAGATGGTAAAAATCAGCTTTTTTGTTTTTAATCAAGATTTTTGGTTTTTTCATAAAGTGATTTGGGAAGTTAGTAAAAAGTTGCTTTTTTACTTTTTTAGACAATATTTTTTTAAGTTGTCATGTCATGGTGTACAACTATAAAATTACCAAAATGCCCTCACCCAATGTAATATATTGGCCTGCATGATCTTGCACCACTAAGGGTAGTATCGTAATTTCATGTAGTTGATTATAATCAGAATTCCAAATCAATTTTTGCCGAAAAACGCTGGCATCTGGCGTTGGCGTTCTCAGCCAGATGTAGCGTAAAACTCTGTTCCCAAAATTGGACTTTGTTTATATGTGTAATATATATATATATATACATTTTAAGTTAGCAGAGCTGCTGGATAGCTCTAATTAGAGCACCAGCCGTACAGCTCTAATGAGTTGTCATGAATTAAAAAAAAAAAAAAAACAGTGTCGTAGAAGACAAAAAAAGAGGGAGAAAATGACAAATTATAGCTCTTTTAGAGCTTCTTTTTTAGAGGTATGAATCATTTTTCTTTAAGTTAGGCTTCATTTGGCAAAATGGTTAAGACTAATTTAGTGCACTAAAAAACAAAATAGACTAAAAAGTTAATAAGATAAAATGTCACATTCAAATTATAATCATTTCACTTTTTCTCTCATAAAACTACAAAAAAAGTGAAAAAGTCATTTCAAACGAAACTTTTTTAGCCAAGTTAAATAGCCAAAAAATAAAAAATTCATGCTAAAAAAGTTCTTTCCAAATAAAGGCTTAATAAGATTGTTTCTCAAAACTTAAGTCGTTGAGAGCAATTGTAAATTTCTCTATATATTTATTTTTTTGAATTGAAAAATAGTATTGATATAGTGAATTTCTTTTTTGCTTATGATTTGGAAAATTTAAATTAAAAAAAAATATTATAAATGGGTGATAGATGTAAATAAGTATTTATAACTTTTTTTTATGAATTTTGTTAACGTGCCTTAGGGCATGTGTTAAAAGTTTAAAAAGATGATCTATGCTAAATGAACGTGAGTGAAAAAATATATGTATATTTTTTTGTTAAAAAACTTGTACATGCTTGAAAAAATTAGGTTAAGAAGACATTTTTTTTTATGACAAATGCTAAAGAGTATCCTTAGAATTATTTAATATTATAATTGGATAAAAATATTAAAAAGTATATTTATTTTAATAAAAAATACATTAAATTTAATAATAAAATATTTCATGCTCTTCATTTTATTTTATTTTATTTTTCACCCAAAAATCACTTTTTACTAAAAGGGAAATAAAGTGAAAAGTCCTCTTTCATGTACTTGTAACCAATCAATCCATAACTTATTCTTATATTCTAATAAGTTCTATTATTTTAGAGATTTGATCTATCAAATTTTAATTTCTATATTTAAAGTCTTTTATGAACAATTTTACTCTTATGGATATTTTTTCAACCCTTACCCGTATCGATATTTTCTCAACCCTTAGTAACTTAATATGTGCTTATCGTATTTTTGGATTATTTTTTACTTTTTTATATTAAACTTTAAATATTCATAACTTTTGTTGCACATATTTTTTTTAAATGAAATTTATATTTTTGAAACTTATTTAACGAGATCTATCAAATAAGATCTCACTTTAAAATATAAAAAATTAAATTTGACAGTATAAATATTCACACTGAAATTATATTATCAATGTGAGATGATTTTACACATTTAATTTTGTATTTGTTCAGATTCGATTTCGATATTAAAAGTTACATTTTCTCAATTGCCATTGTGAATGCTAACATACACCACATTGAAAATACCATACACATTCATAATATGAATACTCATAATGACAACTCACAATATGAATGTTCAAAATACCATGACGAGAAAAATGTTCACAAAGTTCATGTTGCGAACATTTACAAAATCATAAATAAAAGACAACGATGATATTTACATTAGAAAAATGTTATAAACATGTGTATAAATCATAATGCACAACGTGAATATTTAAAAAATCAAGCCTAACATACAGTGAAAACATGCACAACAAATATAATCAAATGCCAAACATCATATTTAATACAATGTGAAGATCAATAATGTAAAATATTTTGCAAAGACCAACATGTTGTGTGTTTGACATCACTAGCATTCACACTCCAAAATTTCACTTATGGTGTTTAATGTTTTCACAATCGGAACTGAAATGTTCAAAATAAAAACCATATGACATTCACAATATGATATTTTACATTCTGTATTTGTAAGTCATTGCAGATTTGATAACTAGGGTTTCAATAGAACACACACACACACAAAAAAAAAAAAAAATCAATTCAACTTATGTTTAGCACCCATTTTAAACTACGCGGAGTAATCGGTGAGGTTGATGTAAATGTCACATAAAGAAAGTGTTCTGGTCATCGGAGAGGAAACATGGGAGACAGAACGATGCGAAGACGGGTGTAGAGGATGAATAGTTGTTTTCAATGATTTTAGCACACCGACGTAGTCAAATTTAAATATCAACAAAGATTTAGAAATTTTGAAGGTACCTTTCCTATTGTGAACATAGTCTTTGAATTAACCAAGAAGCACCTCGCACTTCTTTTCTATTTTTTTTTCTATGGTAAAGAGGATTTATATTTGTAAAATATGGTGGGACAACTATCTTTCATTAGAGAAGAGATAGCCACAAAAGAGGTGTTAATTCGCAAATATGAATCCCAGAATCTCCCACAGCGTGCCTAGCAACAATATGGGCAGTACCATTACCTTCCCTCTTAATGCAATTAAATTGAGTCTATTGA